TTACAGACGTGTCACGCGTCAACGTATACCCATTTTAATTGAGCACACTGTTTTTTTACTTTAAAAATTACGTTACATGACATAAAAAATTGGTGCAACATTCGAATGTCCACCATGCTCATTTATTCATTATTTACATTATAATAATAATAATATTTAATTTATTTAATTTATTTGAATATTAATAAGTCACGTTATTCATATTAATCTTTCCTTTTAAGGAAAGATTAACTCAGGATTTCCTCATATAGGTATAAATCACATGGGGAACGGTTAGAACTCGGTTCTGGAACCGGTTCGCGGTTTCGGTTCAGAACCGGTTCCCTAGTGGAACCGCCCCATCCCTAATAAGCAATTAATGATTATAAATGATCTGCACCGTAGCACACCTACTTTAAAAACATTGTTACACAGTTGTAAACGGTTTGTAAAAAAGGGGTGCTATCTTTCGGATGTTAAATTTTGTAAATTATTTCTAATTGTGGAGTGAATTAGATTCGTGAGGCAATTACGTGCTGTAATTACGTATACACACCTACATGTAAATATTAAAAAAAAATGTAGTTTAGATTGGTTGTTTTTATGGTTATATAATATAAATATATATCCATTTGTTTTTTAAATATTTATAAAATGTCTGAAAACATCGATCAATTCCGTTTTTTAACAAACACTTCTTTTGAAGAAGCACGAGATTATTTAATAGTATTTTATCAGCTTTCTTTTTATTTATTTTGTAAAGATAAAAAACGCTTATAATAATTTTTTGTTTTATATAATGGATTCAAATAAAAGCTTACAGAGGGCAATATAGAACAAGCTGTTACTCTTTTTTACGAAGGTGACATTCGAGCACCACTACAATCATCATCACGTCTAACTTCTACTTCTTCTAACAATGAAAACAACAACACTACGATAAAAGAAAAGGCAGGAACAACATCACAAAATACAAAAGAAACAACAATTCATACCGTCGATGTTGATGAAAACACCACAACAACAGTTACTACTATCGATGATGATGAGTTTTATGAGACTGATGAGTTTTATGAGGTTGATGAGATCGATGGGATTGATGAGATTGATGGGACTGATGAGATTGATGAAAGCATTACCACCACAATACCAAATACAGCCACAACTACTAATAGCTTTAAAACTGTTCTTGATGTAGATGATAGCATGGATTTAGATAAGAAAGATGACAAGATTAATAAAGCTTCTCAAATCAATGCAGATGAAGAATTGGC